CACTTTTGTGACAGGACGATGTCCCTTTATTTACTGTTGTCGTTTTGTTTATTGGCCGTTATCCAACTCCAGGGAACACTGACGTCCGATATGTGGCTAATACGTTTAAAAAAGTGGGGGGGAAGCAGCCGAGGAAAGTCCTGGCAACGGCGATGTTCCACCGGCGATCGAAAGCGCAAAAATTTATTTTTTTCCTCGCTCTCCTCAACAGAGATGCCTGGACACGGCGGCGGTTCTTGCCACCGATAGATCGTCCCGTGGCTAAAACGGCCCAATCGGCAGTCGACGAGCCACGGCGCGTTTGGCTCTGATTGGTCGATGCTATTGTGACGCAATTGTCTTTTCGCTCTCTTGGCGGCTCGAAATGCGTGCGAGGAGTGCGATCTCGGCCCGTTCGATTTGACGCGGTTTGGCGGGAGGGTTCGGCCTCGAGCCAGGAGAAAGGCCAAGCTAGCGTAGAAAGTGTCTTGATCCGGCCTCTGACTTAAAGGAGGTAGGCAGGAGGGAGAGGAGAGGCCGCTGTTCAAAAGCGGGAAAGGGTTTTTCCTGCCTATATTTTACTGCTATTGCGGAGTGCTTCGCTCCCAGTATTTCTCTCAGGGGTCGGTAACATGAGGAGCCAAATTGTTGGGGGCAACGCGCTGACTGTATAAACCGCTTAGAGAGGGCTGTAAAGCACTGTGAAGCGGTATATAAGTCTAAGTGCTCTTGCTATTTCATTATCAAAGGTTCAGCCTCTTTCTCCTTCTGCTCACCGTCACTGATGACCCAGCCACACAGACAGAAGTCCCGGATCCAGGGGCCGTTCTCTATCTTTTCTTTTTAAATTTTCTTTTTAAAAGATGTTCCAATAAATATTTTAGCTTCCTACCCTTCACGTTTGAAGCCCAAATCATCATCCTACCCTTATGAACGCATCAATGCATCTTAATTTTGAATAATACGTATAAGTTTTTCACCTCAGATGAAACTAATTCCTCAGCTATACAGGTAGTCCTCAGTTTACAACAGTTCATTTAGTGACCGTCCAAAGTTACAACGGCACTGAAAAAAAGTGACTCACGACCATTTTTCACACTTATGTGACTGTTGCAGCATCCCCCATGGCCACCTGATTTTACATGCAGATACTTGACAATTGGTTCATATTTATGATGTGTCCTGGAGTCATGTGATCATATTTTGTGATCTGACTAGCAAAGTCAATGGGGAAGCCAGATTCGCTTAACAACTGTGGGACTAATTTGACAACTGATGTGATTTGCTTAACAAATGTGGCGAGAAAAGTTGTAAAACGGAACAAAACTCATTTAACAAATTTCTCACTTAGCAATATAAATTCTGGGCTCAATTGTTGTAAGTCGAGGATTACCTGTACATCTATTTTATATTAAATGCTCTGTAGTTTTATGTATGGCTGTTGTATTTTGCTAGTAATCTTTCACAATTTATTGAAACTTGCTTCCATCTAGAGAAAAAACAGGTCTGTGCATTTTTCAATACACTCTTCTGTGTGCTGTATGAAATGACATTATTTTGATGGTGCGATGAGGTTTGTAGAGGTGTAAATAAAGTCAAGAGGACCTATGTACAGTATATCATGCATGATTTTAATCCAAGCTTTATATATGGAAAGTTAACAAGTTTCTGACATGTACCCTCTTCCTATTTTTCCCTCTGTTAAAATGCTTAAAATACACTTTTTCAAGATTTTCCTTATTGATTATTTCTAATTCCTTTATAGCTTTACATTACCTTTTTAAAAATTATTATAATGTTAACTGGACCCTCTACAGTGGAGCCTCAGGTTGCAACCTTAATCCGTTCTCGGACTCCGGTTGTGACCCCACTTGGTCATGTCTGGAAGCACGAGTGACTGCACATGTGCGCAGTCAAAAAAATGGCGCCAAAGGGGAAATCAGCGCGGAAAGGGAATCTTTCTGCGCCATTTATTTTAACCACCTGATTTTTGAATCATAACCTGATTTTTTGTTCACCACCTGATTTGTTCGCGACCCGAGGTTCCACTGTAGTTTAGTTTATTGTCATTGCACCTCGTACAACGAAATTAAATGCCATCTTCAGTATACATCATACAGTCTGCCACTGTGCAATTAGCAAACCTTACACAGGTGCAGTAAGTTAAAATGTTTTCTATAGTGCAGCGGTAGAAGGTCACCAACAATTTTTCATTCAGTTGTTGTTTCCTACAGCCTTAAAAACAGTCAAAATGCCAAATGTAAAGATAATATAGTGGAAGCTTTATTTTTAACTTTTCTAATTATTTTCTTCAACTTTTTTCCCCACAACTAAACATTGAATAGCTATCCGAGCACAACTTTTAGTTGTGAAAACTGTCTAGGTATTTTTCTATATAACCAATTATCAAATTAAAAGAGGACCATTCCTTGCTTACAACCTTGTGACATTTGTTCAGGAGACTATGGAAAGGAACTATGTGAAAGTTTTCTAAGAATCCACTGTTACAGAATTTTGAAAGGAAGATAGAGCTTAACCTATACAAAAGCCAAGTTATTCTTTATAATGGGACTTAGCCATTTAAAGAGTTATTCAAAATCCTTTCCCAATTTGCCCAGAACAGTCTTTAAATTGTTCAATAACTTCATAGTCCCATTTCCCCAAACCATTTTTAAAAACATGCTACATTAGTCACTTTTCTGTCCTCAAAAATCAAGGATGGTTTTAGGGATAGATTACAGTGTTTTGTTAAAAGATTAGATGAACAGGGCTTGGAAGTAGCAATATGATTGTTTTGGTCACATCTTCTCTGGTCATGCTATTTGCCTCAGACTTGCAATATACTCTCCTTAACCCCAGTACCTATTACATGTCTTCTGCAGTAAGCACAGTAATTTTGCAATTTCTTTTCCCCATAAAGTCCATCAAGTTCTCTAAAGATTATCCCAGTGTGCATGTATTTAAAGATATTTTAATGTGAGTAAGATGCTTCTTGAAATCTATTTTCCCACTTTTTAAATACAATTTCCTTTATACAATTTTCAGTTCTTTTTGTATTGCCTGTGTTGGATCTTTGTTTTTTGAGGTAAATTTGAGTCTAGCTTGACTCTTATTAACTTCATGAACACAGCCAAACAGCTTTCTTGGCATGATTCAGAAGTAGCTTACCACAGTGTTTGCATTTTTATCTTTTACTTTCCATTCTAACCTACAGCTCTTGAACTTCTTGGAAGTCTCCCATTGAACCAGAATCAACCCTGCTTAGCTTGTGAGTTAAGCAAGGCCTGTGACTTGAATCCTCACATATATAATAGGCTCATTCCTAAATGTTTATTTTGTAGTTAAAAGCACGTAGCAGAACTTAACTGCAAATTAATTTTCCAGGAGGATAAGTATAAATTTAAAACATATAATAGTAGGAATAGGAAAAAACTCTAAATAGTTCTTTCTCTGTTTTACATTCAGACTGTGAAATTATAATTGCAAAAAATCCCTTGAATTGTATTATGGATTTATATGTACTGTATACCAGTATTACTACTTTTATTCTTGCAAGCACTTCAAAAATAAATATACATAATTAGATTTTTTTAATACCTTGTTTGTCCCAATCTTTCTGCATACTCATTTGAAGAACTGGGATTCTTTTGGAATGCATACACTTCAAGAAATATCTTCGAATTACTTGCTGAATAAGCTATATTTCATTTCACATTTATTTCCACATTACCTTTGTATTAATACTGTTGATATTTCTCACTTCAAGCTATATTTTGTTGATTGAAAGAGTAGATATTCGTATAATCTATTTCAACTTTAATATTATTAAAATGAAAAAAAAAATCCGATACTCTACTGTCTTAACAGTTGTAACTTTGGGAAAGCCATACAGATAGTCCTCAACTCGCAATATTTGTTTAGCGAGTGTTCAAAGTTACAGTGACTAATGAGCATTTTTCACACTGATGACCATTGTAGCGTCCCCATGGTCATGTGATTAAAAATTCAGACATTTGACAACTGGCATGTATTTATGAAGTTGCAGTGTCCCAGGGTCATGTGATCACCTTTTGCAACGTTCTGATGAACAAGGTCTAAATCTATGTTACTAACTTAACTGCAGTGATTCACTTAACAGCTGTGACAGGAAAGTTCATAAAATGGGCAAAATTCACTTAAAACTGTCTTGATTAGCAATAGAAATTTTGGGCTCAATTGTGGTCATAAATTGAGGACTACTTGTATTTCAAATTTAACCTTTTCTCAAGGAACCTTTCTTTACAGTGGTATCTTACTGTGCCAGTGTCGTGGACTATATATCCTGGAGAAGTCCCCCAGGATTTCTCTACATCATCTGGATACCAAGTAAAAATGCTTCTACACACAGGCTATTAAGGGTATAAAAAACTGGCAATTTATCACCTTATACTTAGGATTTTCAGTTTGATTTTTTTTCCCAAGAGAAGCAATGTGCAATTAAGGCAACAATAATAACGTATTACTTCAATCATACACCACATTGCTTTGGCACCTGCAAGAATGATGAGTGATTTAAAACTACTATATAACTAAATAATAGTTCATATATGGGGGAAAATTTAGTATTCGGATATTTCTAAGAAAAAACTATTCTGAAACCCTGGAAAATAGCATCTTGTTGGTTTTGAAAAGTATGAACTAGTTATATCAGCAATATGACAATAGGGCATCTTCCTATATATATCTATATTCAGAATCAAGTGCTATTTATGGAAGTCCTTGACATACAAATGTCAACAATATCCAAAGTTACAACAGACCCAAAATAAGGTACTTACAACCTGGATTCAAAGTTCTGACAACTGTTTCCTCCCTTGCAACCACATGACTGCATTTTGGGCACTCTAACAAACCCATGATCGTTTGCAGCATCCCATAATCATATGATTGATTTATGATGTTTTTTTGCTGGAAATAGATACATTTAAAATAATAGTTTAAAACATGTCAGACTTTCTATTCATTTCCCCCCACAGATTACCATGGGTGATTTTGAAAAGGGTAAGAAGATCTTTGTTCAGAAATGTTCACTATGCCATACGGTTGAAAAAGGAGGAAAACACAAGACAGGCCCCAATCTCTGGGGACTCTTTGGCCGGAAAACAGGGCAATCTGCAGGATTTTCTTACACAGAAGCAAACAAGAATAAAGGTAAATTATATAGGTAAATAGGCACAACGGTAGGAGCAATTTGATGAAAATTGCTTTATAAAAAAGTTGGGTCAATATTAAATTATTTTAAAATAGTACCCCTAAATTAATTGGCTTCAAAGTCAGGGAAATAAAAATGTCAATTATTGATTACTTCCCATTTTAAAATAGAGTTATTGGATATCTTCCGAAAACAACTTTCTAATATACTGAATATAATGCTAGAATAAGAGTTTGTTGCACTCTTAATTGTGGCAAACTATATCCCAAATATCCTTGGTTAGCGTGCCAATACCATAGTAAGGGATGCTGGAGTTGTTAGTCATCAGTATCAGAGAGTTATAGGTTCTTCATTTTTGTGAAGGTGCAAACTCTGTTTCTTCCAGGAGTATCTATGATTTATGTTTGATGTTTGAGATATTATTAGATTAATAGTTCATTCTATTTTTGGTGTGCTTTGCATTTACTTAGGCCAATGCTGCAAGAATTTGGGTCAGAACTGTAGCAAAGATCCAATGGTGAAGCTTGACAGTTTGTAGCACACTAGGTGTAGTTTGAGCTGGCAAGGAGCCTATGTCAGTGCAGATTTTTATTTATTGCATATGTCAATAAAATTTTAGTCATATTAAGCTGCAATTCTAGAGCCAACAGGGAGGAAATCTTCATTAAACATAAAGGGGCCTGCTATGTTTCAATCATGGTGCTTACTTTTAAGCTTTCTATATTCAAAGACTAGATACTGGGCCCTCTTTATATGGAGCTGCCTTTGAGGACTATTCAGAGTGGTGCAAAATGTAGCTGGTTATTACTTATAAAGCCCATTATAACTTTAGGGACCATCTTACATTTGGGACCATCTGCAGAACCCCCGTTTAATATAGGGTGGTCAAGAAAGAGAGTGGTGGGTACCTACTTCTCAATATTAGCCCTCCCCTCCCAACCAGGACATGGAACAACTCGCTCCCGACCTGAAGTTAGAATTGCTCCTTCCCTTTTTAATATTTAGACAGTTTTTTGAGTCTGCCAAGATCTGGCTCTTTCACCAAACATTAGGCTAGGATGAGGTCGAGTAGGGAGATTGTCTGGTGCCTGGGGTCTGTTTTTGGTTTTATGGATTTTGTGAGCCTCTTAAAAGCTTTAAATGAGACAAGCAGCCATAAAAGCCTTTTAAAGGAATGAAAAGTCTGCAATTTAAGAATAGCAATTCATTTGCCCTCTGATCGTTGATGTTATTGTTGGTATGTTTCATAATATTGCAAAGATATGACATTTTACATACTGAATATTTTTGGACTATTGTTCTTTTTATTATGCTGTGAGCTGCCTTGAATCTTGGATGGAGGCAGCACATATAGATTATATAAATAAAATAAAAGCATTGTTGGATTGTAATGAAAATAAAACCTATTACAATTCTTTTACAGTGCAGTGTCTTGTTATTCCACTATTGTACAGCAATATAGAACTATAACATTTACAATATATACAGTATATATGTTAATATACACTCCATTACCTTGAGCACTTTCATGGGATGGATGCGTGTGTGTGTGTGTGTGAAATAGTTCAGAGTAATGTTTTATTTTCATATACTATGTCCCTACAAGAAACCCAGCTAATTACTTTAATGATTGAACAGGAATTTGAACTGGGTTCTCATCTTTCCTAACTACAATACTTTTTTCTTTTTGTGCTGTAATGGCTTGCATTGCGACAGGTAAATCAGATTGCTGAAATTCCACTGCTGTCAATCTTGAAACATTTGAATTAAATTGATTAAATTGTCCACAATAGTTTCAAAAAGGGATTATCAATGCAAACAGGCATTGGAAAACTCCGGGAGATTTTTCTTTGAGCCCCAGTTGTAGCTGTGGGCTGCTTTGCTTAGGTCTGAAGAGAAAAAGAGGGGGGGAACTCCTTGCCCAACATCCAAGGGGCCTTTTAAAATAAATGTTGCACAGATAAAGAGAAAAAGAAGATCAAATTCCTTTGCTTGGGAGGAGAAAGGAAGCCACTGTAGGTTTTTTCAAGCGAAGGAACGCTTTCAGCATTTGTACAGAGCTTTGTTAACTATTACTATTTAATCCTGATTATTTTATTATGTAATATTAATTGTGTTTTTATATATATGTTTTCTTAAGTTTTCGCGGATATTTATATGTATGGTATTCAGCTTTGTTTGGGTATTTTTCCACGTTGTTATAGTTGTGCTTTTAAAGTTGTAGCGACGTTTTGGCAGAATCTCATCTGCCATCATCAGGCTTGTGTATTGTGTTCATCTGTGAGTCAGGCTTTCACAGCCGTTTCTGTTTTTAATTTGGTGCTAGCCTACTGCTGTGCCAGAATAGTTTTTTCTTCATCCTGATAGGTTGGGAGTCTTGGTTTGTGTTTATTGGTCTTGGACTTTGTTGTGTTCTGCTTGATTGGTGTTTCTAATATCTTCTGTCTGTTTTGGAGCATTTTTTTTGTCTTGATTGGCTGGCAACATCGTGTTTTAGTGTGGCTTGGCTTCAGGTAAACAGACGGCTATCATTTATTAGGAAGCTAGGTTTCATCTGAGTGCCTGGCTGGGGTGTGTTTGAGCTGGAGGTATCGGGGGGGGGGGTCTGTTTGGGCCCAGATGTTTGCTTGGCTTGTGGTGTAGAGATTTTTTTGTTTGTGAGTGCAGGCTTCCAGATAATTGACAGTCTGGTGGAGTCGTCTCTTCTATTCATGCTTTCAGGTCATTTTTCAATCTTTATGGCTTCTCTGATAATTCTGTGGCTGGGGTTTTCTATAGTGGCTAGGGTTTTGGTGCCATTGAAGTCAATGCTATGACCTGTGGCTTTCATGTGTTGGACTAGTGAGGAAGTGTGTTCCAGCTTTTTTACTGCATTTTTGTGTTCATCCAGGCGGGTACTTATTCTTCTATTGGTCTGTCCAATGTATGTGGCAGGGCCTGATGTGCAGGGGACTTCATAATTGCCTTGGTTTTCCAGGTCAGTTTTATCTTTGGGGTTTCTTAGGATGGCTGCGAAAGCCTGACTCACAGACGAACACAATACACAAGCCTGATGATGGCAGATGAGATTCTGCCGAAATGTCGCTACAACTTTAAAAGCACAACTATAATGACATGGGAAAATACCAAAACAAAGCTGAATACCATATATATACTTTGATGTCAAAGCCATATGGCATTATCTTTCTAATGTAATCAAATGATTATATATATATTATCTTTCTAATGTAATCAATTAGAAAGATAATGCCATATGGCTTTGACATCAAAGTCAGAAACCTAGTTCTAGATACTGAAGTGTTTACTTCAATAATACAACTAAAATATTTACCAGTTCAGGAATCAATACTAACCAGTTGATAACTAAAATGTGCTTCAAAAGTTAAATAGAGTATCAGATGTGTACTGAATATTAAATGAGATCTTATAATAATCAAAACTGGAATTTTCTTGACAAACTATTTTAAGCTTTGGAAATTAATTTTTTGCATATACTTTGATTTAAAACCTGTAACTGGTTGGTTACTATTACAATATTAATAGAATATGAAATAGATATTGCATAATTATATTTTTCAGGTATTGTCTGGAATGAAAATACACTGATGGAATATTTAGAGGATCCAAAGAAATATATTCCTGGAACAAAAATGATCTTTGCTGGCATTAAAAATAAAAATGAAAGAACAGATCTCATTACATATTTGAAAAAGGCAACTTCATCATGAAATATTGTAGTTTCTGAATACCAAAATATTCCATCTGGTGTTTTATTATTGTTCTGGCAGGGGTTTATTAGTTATTGTCTTAAAGAAAATAAAATTATTTCTTTAAAAATTAAGGGAAAATACTGTATTTTCTTTTTACACACATACCCATTTCCCAATTCTAGTCAGTTGTTCCTTTTATATATGTATACTATGCAGAGTTGTTCCTATTACAAATTTCTCAGTTTGAGACAAAAAAATAAATGAATTGGAAGTTTACTAACAATAGATAGACAACTTGGCTTATATAAATCTCTATGGAAGTTGATTTTTTGGAATGATTGTGTGTTATTTAATTAATAGAATAGAGAAAAGGAAAAAAATAAGGTCACAGAGAGACCTATTACCTTCTCCAGTTATTTCATCATTATGATTTACTTTATTGTCATTGCACATCCTACAACGAAATTAAATACCATCTTCGGTGTACATTATGACTATGAAAATAAACACAAAAACACATCCTTCACATTCTATACATTGAATTGAAAACCCCTGATATTGCATTAATATTGCATCATACAGTAGATTTCAATAGAGTTACTGCCCTGTGATAGGAGCTGTTTATATTTCTTAAAACAATTCTTGAAGTTCTCCAAAAATGTCCAGTCTTGAATAATGCAATAATAGTCAGTCAGTCCTTATTTTTAAATGAAGCATTGAATCATATTAACAGATGCAAATACCCATGTCCGGAGACCCTTTGTTTTGTAATAATACTGATTTAATTAAAAAAAATCTGAAAATTTCATTAAAAGTTCTGTAGCAAAAGGTTATGAACTTATTGCACATCCCCTAGATATTGTAAAGAGGTCCGTTTTCTGTATAGTCCCTCCAACAGTTTGAAAACTGATTGTGTAGGGTACATGCTAATTAAGGAGGGGTTAAAAGCCACCTGTGTAACTTCTTCAGTTGCAACTCTTGGATAGTGACAGGAGGAAAGCCTGATTTCCATAACAATTGTCATGGTGGTTCATCTATCATATTGTTTAAATATAAGCACTGTTTCAGCCAAGTAAACATCCCCATCTGGATTTGCAATAGTAGCATATAGATCTTGGACGTTACAGAATTCCTTTTGAAAGTGCCAAATAATTTTATATTAAGTTCTCAATTAATAGACAAGTTGCAGAATTCCTAACTTTTTTTATTCCAGGGAAGTGTTAAGTGATACCAAAAAACCAGGACAACCTGTGCTGTGTTCAATCTTGCCTTTATTACACTGGCTGGTATCAGTATATAACCATTTATCCTATAAAAATATAATTCTTACATAATTTTAATTGGGTTAATCCATATTGATCTTTCCCTTAAAAAAATAAATGTTGGGGTACTAGAGGGGAGATGCTACCTATCAATGTAAAATACTTCCCACTCCCATTTGAAAAATTGCCTTGGTGACTTGCTGTTTTGAGCTTCCCCAAAGACGGACTGCTGACTGCGATCATGCATGGCTTTGGTTTGTGCTTCGGCGTTGGAGAGCCCCAATCCTTTGTATTCCAGGCAGAAGCTACCTCGTAGGGGTGGCGGAGGAAGGGGAGATCGTCAGCTGGGCAGAGGGGAGTTGCAAATCCCCTCCCTGGCTTGGCAATTGCTTCCTCCCGAAGACGCCTGAAGCGGTGGTCTAAAATGGCCACCCTGAAGGGGAAGATTATACTGGAATAAGAGTGCAGGAGAGAGAGAAAGAAGCGAACAGCAGGAGGAACGGGATGATATAATCAAATGGAAGATACCCCTAGGATTAACATTTCAAAGAATCTTTAAGAAAGGATCTAAGAGGCGAACAAAAAGAGAAAAAAAAAGGTGTGAATTGCTTTTGATAGCGTTGGGGCTTCGAAACCGCAAAAGGTAGAAGCTGGAGAAGGAACTATATAATCAGCTTGGATAAGTATACTTTGATTTTATATTGGCACTAATAAAGCTGAACTATAGACTGTTAAAGAGGAAATTTAACATCAACTGGGTTTGATCTTTTTCTTGTTGGAAAATTGTGGTTTAAAAAGCTCTGAATAATAGAGAAGAAAAAAGAAAAGAGGGGGTGAAGACTTAGCATAATAAAGAATGCCATCTCAGTTAAGCTCAACTTGTTTTTTTAAAAAACTTGTTGAAATTGCATGGAAATTGATACAATAAAGCAAGAACTTTGAAACATTGAAACATTGTAACAAAGAAAGAATTAGGAAGATTCTGCCTTTGGATTAGTTGCTGATTCTGACATGAATTTGGCACTGGATTACCAGAGACTTAAAAACTTGAGAGGAAGAAAAGTTGACTGTTGGAAATAAACTTTAGAGATACTATTTGGATTAAATTGCAAATTAGAAAGTTGTAAAATGGCAATTTCTCTTCTGGCATTAAAAATGGAACTCAGAAAAATGAAAGAAACACTACAAGAATGAGGTGAATCGCTGGGTTTTGCTTTAAAATTTATTGAAAATGCGACAGCAAAATATGAACAACAAAGACAAAAGGCAGAAGAGGAGGTGGAGCAAATCATAGAAGAGACCATCTTTAGTGATCGAGAACTAAGAATTCTTGAAAGAAAGAAGAAAAGAGTTGGAAATAAATACAGGAGATTTAAGAAATTAAATAAAAAGGGGAATATCCGAAAAATTAAAAAAGGGAAAAAGAGTCAACAGATATTCAAAGGGCGAAAGGAAGCTATAAATAAAGAAAGGGATAAAAACTGGAATGAAAGAACAAAGGAGAAAAGACTGGGAAAGAAGGGACAAGAAACAGGATTTGGAAACAAATATGGGAATTGTAAAACAATGGGGAAATCCTTAATTGGACACAGAGATAATGGGTGATTATTATATAGAAAGGGGATTCTGCAAGATATTGAGGGGTAATATAAATAAATTTATAGTTACGAAATAGGGACATATAGACTGACTAGATGGAAAAACAGAATTGTTATTTTTTGGATAATGGAATATAATGCTCTTCCTCTTTATGTGGAGAGATAATTGTAACAATGGAATAAGTATATTAGATACATTGAAATATTTTTAACATTGGAATGTTGGCTTTTTTGGTTTAAATATGACTGGAATAATTAATGGAATATGTGTATTAAATATATTGAAATAAATGAAATGATATAGGAGGAAAGCTGAAATGGAATTAACTTTAGGGCTTAGGATTATTTTACTGTTTGAATGAGTAGATTAATATGTCCTTTTTTGGGGGGGCAATTTAATAAAATTTAAAAGGAGAAAAATCATGCAGAATATGATTTACATATGCTATGTAGTTTTAAAGGGATTATTAGGTTTAATGTTTTAGGTAATAATGTTAAATGTTTTAACAAGATTTAAAAGGGGTGAAAATAAATGAATTTATAACTTAGAGGTGGCGCACTTATATTGAGATTTCAGGGGGGGAAACCAATTTATTGAAGAAGTGTCTTTTTTAAAAATTAGAATTTAAGATGAAATATACAAATGTGACAGTTAAAAGTACTAAAGTATAATGTTTATGAAGTTATAAGTGAATTAAATAATGAGATAAATATTTGGAATTATACAATAAAATAGAAAATGTATAAAAGCACTGTTAAGATAAGGAATTGGATATAAAAACTGAATATGTAATCATGGTCATATTTGTATGTATATGTGAAACCTGTAATCATGCTGTTCACTAAAAAGAGACATTAAAATATGGAAAACTGAATAAAACCTGTTTAAAAAGAAAAGAAAAGAAAAATTGCCTTGGTAAAGACATTATTAAATTTTGTTTAGCTTATGCTAAAAAAAAATACTGTGTATCATTTTTCAGGATGTCAAGCAGTGATTCAATGCTTAGGTAGTCTTCTAATATAAATGAAATCAGATGATTTGTGTTGCTTGCAGAAGTGGTATTCAGCAGGTTTTGACCAGTTCTGGAGTAGTAGAAATACCACCCCTGACTGGAGATTTTACAGTATCATTTCCCCTGCCATGCCCACCAAGCCACGCCCACAGAACCGGTAGTAAAAAAAAATTGAATCCCACCACTGGTTGCTTGGCAATAGCTTTTAAAATTTGGAACCTCCCTGCCTTTGTTTTTGTGGTCAATATAAAATGTGTCTAGATTCCTGGAAATAAAACAAACTTCCAATCTGAACATTCTTATGGATGGGATTGAAATAAAAAATTAGGACTTGAAAGAACTTCAACAGTTGCTATGCGTCTTGAAAGTATTTAAATGATTGGTCTAATTTTTCCTTTTCTCCCTAGGCTGCATTAAAATTGTATTTATTTATTTATTAAATTTGCTTGCTGCCCATCATGCCACTCTGGGTGATTTATGTTAAATGTTGTGGAAAGGGAACTTCACCAGGACAGTGGTGACACCCAAGCAGGAAAAGCGCAAGGGGAACATCAGGCTAGCCATAAAAACAAACTTGCATACGAAAAGAAATTTAATAAAAAGTATTGAAAGGAGCCCCCTAGACAAAAGCCAAGTAATTAAGAAACCTAGGAAAAGAAAACAGGCCCAATCAGCAAAACAAACAAACAAAAGACACAGAATGAATTACATAGGAAACAGGAGATTGCCAGGAAACAAATAGAAAAAAACATTATAAAGGTAAGAGATTAAGAAAGAACCAATAGGGCAATCAAGCCACCCCGCAGAGTTATTTTCCACACCTCGCCAAGTATGCCTTCTGGCGAAAATTAAACTCTGACAGGATTTTTAATATCTAAACATTAAACATTAAATACTAAACGAACATTCACACACAAAGGGAGGAAAAAGGTATAAAGAACCAGGAATTCACCATTCAAGGTTAGCTAGCTAGCCCCAGGAACACAGACTTCTTGCTATCTCTTGCCTTCCTGAAAAAAAAAAAGGAACCCGCTTCCAAGCAGTTGTCTCTGTCTTTAAACTGGACTTCTCCCAGCAGGAAAATCGAGCTCTCAGAAGAAAGGCATTTTCCAGCCTTTCAACAATGTAAATGTAAAATATTACCAAATACTTTTTAAAATTCTTAGTAATGTCGATCTATGGATATTTTTAAGGATTTGAATGCAGTT